GTAGTAGTAGTAGTAGTCCTAGTAGTATTCCAGTGATAGGAGGTGGAGGAGGAGGAGTAGAAGAAGCAGTAGTAGAAATAGTAGGACTAGTAGTCGTAGTAGTAGTCGTAGTAGCAGTAGTCGTAGTAGCAGTAGTCGTAGTAGGAGTAGTAGGAGCAGTAGTAGTAGTAGTAGTAGTAGCAGTCGTAGTAGTGGTCGTGGTCGTGGTCGTGGTCGTGGTCGTGGTAGTGGTAGTGGTAGTGGTAGTGGTAGTGGTAGTGGTAGTGGTAGTGGTAGTGGTAGTGGTAATGGTAGTGGTGTTATTTTTTGTTATTAGTAGTAGTAGTAGTCGTAGCAAACGTAGAACAAGTAGTAGTAGCAGCAGAAGTAGTAGCAGTTGTCGTAGTAGTAGTAGGAGGAGTAGTGTTGGTAGCAGTAGTGGTAGCGGTAGCGGTAGCGGTAGTAGTAGTAGTAGTAGTAGTAGTAGTAGTCGTAGTAGTAGCAGTAGTAGTAGTAGTCGCAGTAGTAGTAGTAGTAGTTGCTGTTGTAGTAGTCGTAGTAGTCGTAATAGTCGTAGTAGTAGTAGTAGTAGTAGTGGTCGCAGTAGTCGTAGTAGTAGTCGTAGTAGTAGTAGTAATAATAACAGTAGTAGTAGTAGTCGTAGTAGTAGTCGTCGTCGTCGGAGGAGGAGGAGGAGGATGAGGACAAGGCGGAGAAGGAGGAGTAGTAGCAGTAGTAGTAGTAGTTATTTATCGTAACAGCTATCGTAGCAAGAGTAGTAGTAGTAGCAGTAGTAGTAGTGGTAGTAGTAGTAGTAGTAACAGCAGTAGTAGTAGTAGTAGTAGTAGTAGTAGTAGTAACAGCAGTAGTAGTAGCAGTAGTAGTAGCAGCAGTAGTAGTAGTAGTGGCAGTAGCAGTAGCAGTAGCAGTAGTAGTAGCATCAGTAGTAGCAGTAGTAGCGCTAGCAGTAACAGTAGCAGTAGCACGTTAGTAGTACGAGTACGAGTAGCAGCGACATCAGTAGTCGCAGTAGTAGCACGAGTACTATGACTAGAAGTAGTAGTATATGTGGTTGTAGTTGTAGTTGTACTTGTACTTGCAGCTATAGTTTGAGTAAGCGCCGTCGCCGTCCAGCCATGTTCGATCTCAGCTTCACATTCACAGGCTCATGCTGCAGGTGATGAGTGGGGCTCATGTCGTCGTCGAGGAGCCTCGTCCAACGTAGAGGCTTTGCTGGGGCTCTCCACCCTGGGCCCCCACATTCAGTAGACGTGAGTCCCCAGAATTCATTCTGGGGTCTTGACTCGCCCCAGCCAGCGTGTGCACGCGTGCGCCCCCGCCAGCGTGCGCAGGAGGGAGGCGAGGGTCCGTGTTGTCGGGCCAGTACCATCATTACGAGCAAGGACGGCACAGTGATTGGAGGGTGCACTTTAGCAAGAGCTCACGGCAGCGGAACAACAACTATGAAGGCCAATATCGGGGATGATGCTTAGAGTGTCGACGGCGGGCCCTCGTCGGCGCCCCGGTGGCTTCGCGACGACACGACGCGGAACTCAGGACTTCGCGGGACATTTGCGCAATGGCGCTTGGTTTGGGGAACCAATGTTTTTTCAAGTCGGCAGTCGTCAGTGTGATCCCACGCACCTAACCTTTAGCTGGTATTCTCAAGGGGGAGCGCGGTGGGGGGAGGTGGCGCCGACTGTGCTGGGAGTCGTTCTCTAAATGATGGTTTTCGGCCCATCCCCACCGTGCCTGGGTTGTGGGTATCAAGCCTTTGGGATGGTCGTTGGGATCTCGTGGGGGCGCCTCTCGGGGGCCTCTGGAGGCAGTTTTGAGGCCTCTTGGGGGCCGATTGGGGGCCTCGGTTGGGTCTCTCGGCGGCCTCTTGGGGTTTGTTGGGCCTCTTCGGGGCCCCTTGGGGCCTCCTGGAGGCCTCTTGGAGAGGAAGGCTTGAATTTTCTGTTTGTGTTGCCTCTCTTGGGTGCCTTTGGGGGTCGTCTTGGGGCCCTCTTGGGCAGTCTTGGGCGCCTCTTGGGCCGTCTTGGGCGTTCCTGTGCCGTCTTGGGGCCCTCTTGGAGGCCTTTTCGGCCGTCTTGGAGCGAAGTAAAGCCGAACAGGCGAGAGCGCCCAAAGCCTTCAAAAGCATACGGGAAATCAGTATTGTTTGCTTCTTGGGAGGCCTCTTGGAGGCTTTTTCGGAGTCTTGGAGGCTTCCTGGGCCATTTTGAGGCCACCTTGGGCGTCTTAGAGCGATCTTGGGGCGACTTGGGGCCCTCTTTGATAATTTTGGGGGCCTCTTGGAGCCATCTGGGCTCGGTTTGGGGCCTCCTGGTCGGGGTAGGCCGACGCGAGCGATTCTGGTGGACACCATGCCGGCACCTGTCAGCCCTGTTCCGGGCCCTGATATAGACTTACAGTTCCAGCAGCAGCAGCAGCAGCAGCAGCCCACTCAGTGCTGCATGAGCCTCTGAGCACCCCACTTCGTGCCAGGGGCACAGTGGCGGATTATGTCGGGCGCGAGCGCAGCGCCCTGCTCGGATCCCGCAGTCCACGTCGAAACTGAAAGGTGAATCGGAAAATGGCCGTTGTATCACTCGTAGCAGCAATGGTCGTGGCAAGGGTCGCGATAGCAGTAGTAGAAGTAGAAGCAGTAGTAGTAGACGTAGTAGTAGTAGTAGTAGTAGAAGTAGTAGTAGTAGTAGTAGTAATAATAGTAGTAGTGATAGTAGCAGTAGTAGTAGTTGTAGTAGTAGTTGTTGTTGTAATAATAGTAGCAGCAGCAGAAGCAGCAGTAGTAACAGTAACAGTAACAGTAACAGTAGTAGTAGTAGTAGTAGTAGTAGTAGTAGTAGTAGTAGTAGTAGTGGTCGTAGTAGTAGTAGTAGTAGTAATGGTTGCCGTAGTAGTAGCAGTAGTCGTAGCAGCAGTCGTAATAGTCGTAGTAGTAGTAGTAGTAGTAGTAGTAGTAGTAGTAAGAGTACCAGTGCTAGCACTAATACGAGTCCTAGTGGTACGAGTAGTACGAATACGAGTACGAGTACAAGTACGAGCACTAGTAGTACTTCTCAGACGAGCATTGGTGGTAGTACTCAAAGGAGTAACAGTAGTAGCAGTGGAAGTAGTAGCAGTAGTAGTAGTAGTAGTAGTAGTAGTAGCAGTCGTAGTCGTAGTCTTAGTCGAAGTCGTCATCGTAGTAGAAGTAGTAGTAGTAGTAGTTATAGTGGTCGGAGTCGTGGTAATAGTAGTAGAAGGAGTAGTAGCAGTGGCAATGGCCATAGTAGTATGAGTAATAGTTGTGTTAGTAGTGGTATCTGTAGCATTCGTACCAGCAGGGGTAGTAGGTTTAGTAGCAGTCGCAGTACCTGGACTAGAAGTAGAAGTAGTAGTAGTAGCAGCAGTAGTAATAGCATCAGGTTTGTAGTAGCACTACTAGTGGTAGTACTAGTACAAGTAGTCGTCCTAATAGTAGTTGTCGCCGTAGTCGTATTGGTAGTCGAAGAAGTAGTCGTAGTAGTAGTAGTAGTAGTAGTAGTAGTAGTAGTCGTAAAAGAAGGAATAGTAGTAATAGTACTTGAGTAGCAGTAGTGGTGGCCGTAGTGGTAGTAGTTGTAGTAGTAGTAGTATTAGTAGTAGTAGTAGTAGAAGCAATGGTCGTAGTAGTAGTAGTAGTAGTAGTAGTAGTGGTAGTAGTAGTAGTAGTAGTAGTCGCAGTAGTAGTAGTAGTCGTAATCGTCGTCGTAATAGTAGTAGGAATCGTAGTAGTAGCCGTAGTAGTGTAGAAATAGCAGTGGCAGTAGTAGTAGTAGTAGTAGTGGTAGTAGATGTAGTAGTATGAGTGCTGCTGCCACTACCACTATTTCCACTAACGACTACTGCTCTTTCTTCTGCACTACCACTACCAATACCAATGCCGCTACCGCCACGACTAGTTCTACTTCTTCTACTACAGATGCTACTACTACTACCTCTAGCACTGCAACTTCTACCACTACTACCAGTACTAGTGTACTAGTACCACTCTAGTTGCTATTGCGACTACAAAGATTATTACGACGACTACTGTTGCTACTACTGCTTCAACAACTAATACTACTACGACTACTTCGTATTGTTTACTATTGCTACTACTTCCACTGCCACCACGACGACCACCACCAGTATAACTACTACTACTACTACTACTACTACTACTACTGGTACTACTACTACTACTACTACTACTACTACTACTATTACTACTACTACTACTACTACTACTCCGACTACGACTAAGTACTACTACTACTACTACTACTACTACTACTACTACTACTACTACTACTACTACTACTACTACTACTACTACTACTACTACTACTACTACTACTACTACTACTACTACTACTACTACTACTACTACTACTACTACTACTACTACTACTACTACTACTACTACTACTACTACTACTACTACTACGACTACTACTACTACCACGACTAGTATCCCTACTACTACTACTACTACTACTGCTACTACTACTACTGCTATTACTGCTGCTACTACTACTACTACTACGACTACTACTACTACGACTACGACTACGACTACTACTACGACTACGACTTCTACGACTACTACTGCTACTTCTACTATTACTGCTACTACCACCACGACTACGACTACGACTACGTTTCCGGCTACTACTACTACTACTACTACGACTACTACTACTACTACTACTGCTGCTACTACTACTACTACTACTACTACGACTACTACTACTACTACCACCACTACTACTACTACTACTACTACTACTACTACTACGACTACGACTACGGCTACGAGTACGAGTGTGACTACCACTGCGAGTGATAGCTTCAGCAGCACTGGTAGTACCATTCGTACCCGTAGGAGTCGCAGTCGTCGTCGTACTATTTAGCAGGAGTTGAACGAGCAACAGTGGTAGTTGTGGTAGTAGGTCGTAGTAGCCGACCTCGTCGCCGTCGTCCTGTTGCATCTCGCGGGGGGGCGCTGGCAGGGCAGCCGCCCTCGGCGGCGACGGCGGCCAGGAGCCGTTGTGCAGCCCGTTGCAGGAGGGCCGCCACCGCAGCTGCCATTGCCCTCACCGTCGCCCCCGTCGCCCTCACCGTCGCCGCCGCCGTGGTCGTTGTCGTCGTCGAAGTTTCTGACCGTCGTCGTCGGGGTTGTCCCCTCAGTCGTCGTTGAAGTCGTCGGGTTGGTCGTCGTCGGGTCCTCGTCGTTCTCGGCGCCAACGTGGTGCTTCGCCGTCGACGTGATCGTCGTCATGGTCGTCGTCGTGGTCGCCGCCGACGCCAGGTGACGAGGACGAGGAGGGGGAAGAGTGGGAGACGAAGGAGGAGAAGAAGCAGGATTATTAGGATTACCAGGATAACCGCCAATACAAAAGTTAAACATAGCAGGCGCAAACGCAGCAGGGGAAGCTCGGGCTCGTTCCCGAAAGCGTTCACACAAACAAGGGAGTTGTCAAGGCACGACGACAGCAACTCCAAATATGCACCTCACTGCGGCCATAAAACTAACAAGGCTGAACGTGCTCATCCTATTTCAGCAAGCCCGAAGGCCGCGACCATGTGTCCCTCAGCGCAGTGGATGTGAAGGAGATGGCGGCAAGGAGGAAGAGGACAAGCTGACGAGTGAAAGGAGGAGGTGGAGAGGGAGGGGCGGGAGGGTGAAGGGCGATACGGAATCAGGTGAGGTCGGGGAGAAGCTCCTGTCAGTAAGACCTGTTTTCGCCCGGCGCGAGAGGGCAGTAATGGTTGAGTGAATGGCCAAAGGGGAATCTCGACATGGGGCACTTCTCTGGGTTGCGTGCTCTTCCGAGGAGTGTCTATGTCTCACCTAAGAGACAGCACCAGACCTGGTCTGGGAAGGTCCATCGCTGTTGATTCGTGCATGATCACCGCTGCTGTTTCTTGCATGGTCTACGTCGGACTTTAACGGGGCAGGGCAGGTTGCAACCGAAAGGGAATGAATATCGTTTCAACTAACGTCGCCGCCGCTGCTGCTGCGCCGCCGTCGATCCAGCTCCCGCCCTGCTCGGTCTCGCCATGTTCCGATCTGGACTTCGATGATGTGCCCGAAACCCGAGGGAGGAAGGGACAACTGAAGAGGAGGAACACACGTAGGAGGGGAGGGAAAGATGGAGGGTGGGGACGTGGGAAGGAGGGGGAAGATAGGGATTGGAAGGAGGGGGAGTCGGGTGAGGAGGAGAAGGAGGGCCAGGAGAAGGGATCTAATGGGGAGAAGGGAGATGGGGAGGAGGAGAGGGAGGAAGAGCGGAGGGAAGAGATGGATAATGAGAAATATGCACCAACCGAGTTCTATGATTCTATGACCATGAAGAAGAATAAGAAGAAGAGGAGGACCAGGAGTAGGAGGGGGAAGAGAAGGTGGAGTTGGCCGATGATGATGAGGAGAAGGAGGAGCAGGAGGACGAATGTGTGCAATATCTTCCGTCTCCTCGTTGTTGTCGTTCCTCCTCATCCTCATCCCCCTCCTCTTCCCTCATCCCCTCATTCTCGTCATCCTTCTTCTCCTCCTCCATTCCTTCTCCTTAGAGATAACTCTTCCCTTTTTAGGGCGGGCCGGACGTTTCGCCGGAGACTTCCCCACCAGTTATGATTCTGAAGCTTAATAAGTGACAACAGCTTCTCAGATGGAGGGCGGGTCGTTTTCAAAATGTGGCTCTCGCCTGAGTGCCGCGCACATTCGCTTTAAACATTTGCAAGAGCTTCACGGATTGAGGGCGGGTCGTTTTCAAAATGTGGTTCTCGCTTCAGCGCCGCGCACATTCGTTTTAAAAGTTTACAAGAATTTCGCGGACTGAGGGCGGGTGGTTTTCAACATGTGGTTCTCGCCTGAGCGCCGCGCACATTCGTTTTAAACATTGCGAGAGATTCACGGATTGAGGGCGGGTGATTTTCAAAATGTGGCTCTCGCTTCAGCGCCGCGCACAATCGTTATCAACATGTGCAAGAGCTTCGCGGATTGAGGGCGGATGGTTTGCGACATGTGGTTCTCGCCCTGGCGCCGCGCACATTCGTTTTAACAATTTGCAAGAGTTCCACTGGTTCCCATGATCAAAGTACCAAACATCTTGTTTTGGAAGGATTGAGGATATACGCGGGCGCAACAGTTATGTTGATTCGCTGTGTTGAAGTCCCAAAAATGGCGTTCTGTCACGATTCTGGATCGTCAAGACGCAGCAGTCAGGTTGATACGTGGCGTTGAAATTCCGAGAACAATGTTTTGGCACGCTTCAGGATCTTCAAATTGTTGTCTTCTAGCGAGGCAGTTCCTTCAATGGAAATGAACCGTTGTAGGGGCCTATGATGTGGGGGCTTGGAGGGAGGAATAATTCCAACATCGTTGATGACTCTTTGGGTTTCCACTAGTCCTCCTCCTCCTCCTCCTCCTCCTCCTCCTCCTCCTCCTCCTCCTCCTACTCCCTCATCCCATCCTCCTCCTCCTCCTCATCCTCCTCATCCTCCTCCTCTCTCTCCTCCTCTCTCCCATCCTCCTCCTCCTCCCTCATCCCCTCCTCATCATCGTCCTCCTCCCTCTCCTCCTCTTTCTCGTTATCCTCCTCCTCCTCCTCCTCCTCCTCATCCTCCTCCACCTCTTCCCTGTACAACTAGATCATTCCTGTCGCACCCCCAGACGTGTCGGTAGTGCGGGCCAGGCGCTTCGCCTGAGACTTCCACACCATCGATGATCCTGAAGCTTGAAATTTGAAACAACTTCAGAGATGGAGGGCGGTTCCTTGGCACAATGTGGCTCTCGCCTAAGCGCCGGACACGTGTGTTTCAAAGGTTACAACAGCTTCAAGAATGGAATACGGACCCTTTGAAAATGCGAGTCTCGCGTCATCGCCGCGCACATGTTTCAATAGTTTGCAGCAGTTTCAAGGATGTGCAACGGTTCCTTTTTCAAAATGTGTTTCTCGCCCTGGAGCCGCGCACGTTCGTTGTAAAAGTTCGCAACAGCCTCAAGGATGGAGGGCGATTCCTTTTGTAAATGTGGCTCTCGCCCTGGCGCCGCGCGCATTCGCTTCAGTCATGCGGAATTGGCCCAAGGACTCGCACGGCTGGAGTCCCAAGAATGGCGTTCTGGCACGATCTAGGATGGTCAGGACACAACAGGCACGTTGATTGGCGGCGTTGAAGTCCCAGGGATGGTGTTCTGGCACGCCTTAGGGCTGTCAGGACGCAACAGTTACGTCAATTCGCAGCGTTGGAATCCCAGGAATTCTGTTTTGTCCCGACTGAGGATTCCCAGACGGTTGCCCTCAAATGGGGCATTTCCCAGAATGACAATACATTCTTGCAGGGGCAAATGAAGAGGGAATTTTGAGGAAGGGCGTAGTGAAGCATTGTTGATGCGTCTTGGGTTTGCACTGGTCTGCTCCTCCTCCTCCTGCTCCTCCTCCTCCGCCCTTCCCAGGTTCCTGTCTTTCGTGTTGCACGTGCCGCCTGTGCTCAGCCTGCGAGCGGACTGGTTGAGGAGTGCGGCCCGGGCGTCAGCAACCTTCAGCTGCTCGAGAGAGGTGTGTGGCCAGGACACCCCAAGGCGGCAAGTGATTTGAACAGGGTTCCAGTCGTCAAGCGGCCACACGAAGGCAGGGGGCCCATAGACCCACCCCAGAACACTGCCCACGCATGGGGAGAACTTCTCCTCCTCTTCCTCCTCCTCTTCCTCCTCCTCTTCCTCATCATGCTCCTTCTCCTCCGCCTCCTCCTCCTCCTCCTCCTCCTCCTCCTCCTCCTCCTCCTCCTCCTCCTCCTCCTCCGCCCACGCCCACGCCCACGCCCACGCCCACGCCCGCCGCCGCCAGCCGCTCGTCGCTGGCCGCCGCCGCCAGCCGCCGCCAGTCGCCCCTGCCCGCCGCCAGCCCGCCAGCCGCCGCCGGCCCCGAAGCGCCGGCCAGGGCCAGCCGCACGGCGTGCCGCGCGGCGTGCCGCCCGGCCCCCCGCTGCCGGCACGCGGCGGCGCCGGGGCGCTGCGGCCGCTCGGGGCGGCGCGCTCCATGGGAACCACCCGCCGTCCGCCAAGGGCCGTCGGCGACATCGCGATGACCCGGGCCTCCCTGGTGGGGCCCGATCCCAACCCGAGAACGCGAGGCGAGACCCCAGGGAGCGCCGGCACACTTTGCACCTGGCGGCCGCGGTACGCAGTCGTCACGCGTTGAAGACACGAGTCGAGCCCTCACAGGTGGGGTCCGAGCAGAGGTCAGAGGATCGCCCGCATCGGCGATGCGACTCGATGTGGAGCCCGATTCTCTCATCGCCGACGGCGTCGGCGACGTCGCCGATAGATCGCCGATGCATTGGCGATAAGGCGCGGTCCTCCGATCCTATCTACTCGGACCCAATGTGGGAGGCCTCAAATGAAGCCAGAGAGCTCTCGAGCTGTGCTTGCGCAGTCTTTAGTTCTGCATGGCCCTAGTACTTCCAACATGATGTCGAGAGAGCTCTAGATTCGGGCCTCGGCGGCTACGGAACGCGCAATAAGAGCACGCGTGCCTGCACTCCTGTCTACAGCAAATGATGCGGCCATATGTTCGCAATCATGTGCCTCGTCGGCGACGTCATCGGCGTCGTCGTCGGAGTTGTCGTCGTCCCATCTGCCCCAGGGCCTGAAGCGGGCTGGCATGCGAGTCGCCCAGGGCCATGTCGTAGTCGTCGGCGGCGGCGTCGTTTGCGTTGGCGGCGCGGTCGGCGTTGTAGTCGTGGTCGTCATCGTGGTGGTCATCGTCTTCGTGGTCGGCGGCGGCGTGGGTGGCTTCTTCTTTTCCCTAAACAGTGCTTGCACTTAGGTGTATCTATTTCTCTTCTAAGGAATTGGACCTGTCTGTCGGTCTGGCGGCTATGTTGTCGCCGTCGCCGCCACGTCGCCGCCCGTAACTTGGCCTGTCTGTCGGTCTGGCGGCTATGTTGTCGCCGTCGCCGCCCCGCCGCCGCCGTCGCCGCTCCGTCGCCGTCGTTGCACCACATAGATTGCACAACATATGTTACAAAGCGCTGATTGCACAACATACACTGGTATCTTCTTGCTTCCTTCCGCCAAGCTTGGTGTCAACATTTCTCATTGTCAAATGCCGAATTCTCAAAAGCTGTTTCAGTTTCTTGCATCTGCTCCCAGATATCCTCCCCTGATCTTCCGCCAGATCTTCCCCTCTAACTTCTTAAATATCTACCTCCATCGTCAAATCTTCACTCGCGCTCTCACTGCTGGAGTCGCAGCCTATATCTTCGCATAAGTCTTCACTCGCGCTCTCGCTGCTTGTATCGCCTCCTTAAGCTTCACCTGAATATTCACTCACGCTCTCACTGCTCAACTCGTCACCTAATTCTTCACTCGCGCCTCGCAAATGACATATTTACCCAAATCTTCGCTTAAATCTGTAATCGCGCGCTCACTGTTTGAATCGTCACCGGAGGCGTCACCAACATCTTCATTCGCGCTCTCACTGCTAAAATCTGCACCTAAATCTTCACCTAACTCTTCGCTCGAGCTCCCACTGCGGAAATCATCAGCTAACTATTCACCTAAATGTTCACCCGCGCCCTCACTGCTTCTAAATATTTGCTTACATCTTAAATCGCGTACTCACTTTTTAAGTCGTCACGTGATGCGTCACCCAAATTTTCACTCGGGCTCTCATTTCTGAAATTTCACTTAATCCTCACCTAACTATTCACTCTCTCTCTCTCCCACTGCTTACATCATCACCTGAAGATTCACCTAAATCTTCACTCGCGCTCTCACTGCTTAAACTTCCGCCTAACTGTTCACCCTCGTTCTCACTGCTCACTGCTTAAATCGTCACCTGAGGCGTCACCCAAACCTTCACTCGCGCTCTCAAGGCTGAAATCTTCACCTAAATCCGCACCTAATTCTTCACTCGCGCTCCCACTACTTAAATCATCACCTAAATATGCACTCGCGCCTTCGGTGCTTAATTCGTCACCTGAATCTTCGTCAAATTGTTCACCAAGCACCCCGAGCCCCGCCACCGTAAAGCTTAACCATGATACCGGAGAAACGAACCAATCAGAATGTGTGTTTGGGCTATAGATCTATACTGATATAGGGCTACAGGGCTACAGGGTTATAAGGCTGTAGGGCTATTGGGCTATAGGGCTATATAGGCTATAGGGTTATTAGGCTGTTGGGCTATTAGGCTATAGGGCCACAGGGCTAAAGGGCGCTAGGGCTATAGAGCTATAGCGCTATAGGGCTATAGGGCGATAGAGCACCCGGGCACCCAGGCACCCCCGGCCACCTCCGGGCACCCCTGGGCACCTCCTGGAACACCCGGGCACCCGGGCCGACCTCCGAAATCTGCGGGCCACCTCACCTAACCATATGAATCCGCTAGGACCCCTACAAAGGCAAGCTCTGATTGGAAAAAAGTCTGCACCCAGAGCCCCGCGCGTTCGTGAAAACTTTGCTTTCGCGCGAAACAAAATTAGAACAGGCAGCAATATTCTCCTTGAGCTCTGACCCTGACAGCGCCACCGGCACAATCACCAGCGCACTCACCGTCTCAGCCACCAACACAGGCACCGTGGTTCAAGGACTGTTGGCTCAAGATGGGCGCGATCTGGCTCAAGCCACCCGGCCGCCTGCGCGCCTGCTCGACCTGGCCGCCTGGGCCCACCTTCCCGAGACCCGCCCGTTGATGGCCCAAGCACCGCCACCACCTGGGCACGTTGACGGCGCTGGGCCACGAGACGCCCCGGCGCCGGCGACCCTCGCAGCTTCTCTAGAGACCCTGCTGACCACGGAGGACAATGCGGAGATGGGCGAAGGCATTACGGGCCTCACACAGACGATCGACGAGCTCCAGATGGAACGCACAACCGGCCCTCCCCCTCAGACGCCCGCAGAAGCCTCCCCCCCACCAGGCCTAGAACGGCAGGACCTGGAGCTCCCCGTGATCAAGCGTGGCCTCGACGAGTTCATGTCTCTCTTCACGGACAACTTCCAGGCGCGTTTGGTCATACAGACCGCACAGCCTCCCCCTTCTCCGCCATCGCCACAGGAGGTCCTGGGCTCGGTGAGTGTCTCAAACGGTTCCTGCACTACCTCGGCCCCCGGCTCGACCATGAGTTGGCCTGGGAGCAGCCGGGTCTCCCTTGGGGCGAGGGCGCGCTCCAGGATGCCAATTGAATTGAGAATCAGCAGCGGTGTATCCACCATTGGCTCGACTACTTGGCCACGTCGCTGAATACTGGCACTGTCAATGACCAGTGCGAAGCCATTAAGCTGCAGGTGGGAACCGCGGCGACTGTCTGCAGGGGCCTCCTCCCCACCCTCAAAGTGCGACGGGGCCGACGCCAGATAGCTCCAGACTACAGGTACAAGGAGATGGGGGATGGCTTCGTCACATACCTACACGAGATTCTCGCGCCCTGCAGCGGTGACCTGATTTGCTTGCAGCTCTCGGACATGCAGAACGCGGGACTACCAGATCACGGCCGCGATTTATTGAGGGTCTTGGACCACGCCAAGCCAGGCGCGTTCACACGGCAGTTGCACGGGACGCTTCGACGGGGGGGCAGCAACTGGAGGACACTTTGGCAGAGCATGTTCTTCTCCACGCTCCGGAGGACTCCGCGCAGCTGGGCGGGACGCTGTCTTCGGCGACGACGGTGCGGTCCCGAGGCGGGCACGCGGACATCAGCCTCCTGGCGACTAGGCCCCCCATGCCAGGTAACCCTTCGGAGTTGGCCATCGCTGATGTTTGGAAGACGCCGCTTCTGTCCGGCCCTGGCTCTGCTGGGAAACTGGTGAAGAACATTGGTTTCTTCGAGCCACCGGTCAGGATGATCACAGACGGCTCACGTGGACCCCGAGCTCAGGAGAGACACGCGGCTATCATCCGTGAATGGGGGCGGGCCTCCGCAGCGCATGCAATGCGCACGCACTGGTGGAAGGAGTCGCCTGGTGGTCTGAAGAATCTCGATTCGATTGTGATCAACATGGCGAAAAACCAGGTCACGGACATTAGCGCCTTGATTCGTCAGTTTAGGGCGGAGGGAGTTGCGGGTTGGGGCGGGCTTCTGACAAGTCAGGCGGACCCAGAGAACAGGTCGCTCATGTACGGGTACACCTCCACGAGTTCACCGTTGAAAACCATGATGTTTATACGGGGTCTTCGGCGTCATCTGAGGGCTTTCCCAAACGTGATCATAGGACACGCGCAGCTCCTCAACGACCCTGGCGCGCTCATCCTCGACTTCAGGGCTTGGGCGCGGTTGCCAGCGGAGCCAAATATCTGGACCAGTGCATATTTCTTTCCACGAAACGCGGAGACATGATCAGCACGACCCCCAGGGAAACGTGGGAGCGCACGCTGACGCAGCAACGCCAAGGAGGAGGAGCTCGCATACTTCGCATCACTTGGAGGGCGAGCACTCGCGGCGGACGGGACTGGGTATTACCACAGGCTCTCCATCCACGACAGCAGGCGGCAATGCTGGGTAATCGGAGGGAGTTTGCAGGCCCGTCGCGCACGGATATCCACGTGCAGATCAAGGGCGACACCACAGAGGACCCCAGCGCTTGGCTCACAGTCCTGGCCAACAAAGTGGAGGAGTGGACCGGCATCCACTACGCGGCCCAGGCGCTAGGTGCACAACCATCTCGCCACTCTTTGACGCCGATCCCGAACCCCTTTGGCAAGTGGGACGGAGGGGTAGTAGTCGCCACCGCATCTTCGGAGGAGGCGATCGCGCTGGCGCCCCGCCTGAACGGCTGCTGCATACCCGGCGCCGGAGGCACTACGCGCCTGGGAGTGGACCTCCGACGCGAGCGCACGCACCTGCAGGTCTCGTCGGCCCTGGGCGCGCAGGGCTCGGGGGGTCATCCCCGGAGCGCGGGGCGGGCTGCCCGTGCTCCACGGGCGTTGCCAGCAGCCCATGGAATGCACCTCAGGTCTTTCGCTCCGGGCCCGAGGATCAGAGCGCGGAGCACGGTCTCCACGAGCCTCGGGGATGGGTGCCCGCGACGCTGGCGGGGATCG